GAGGGCTCTGTTTTTATTTCAGTTGTTTTTCATGTTTTTGTGTTTGTTTTGATTGTGTTTATTTAGTGTTTGTGATTGTGTTTTAGGTTTGGGCCGTTGGCCTCTGTGTTTTTGGGTGTCAAATTATTACCCTGTTGGGATCCGACAGTTCGGTATTACCTTGTTGGGGTCTTGTTTAGTTGTTTTAGTTGTTAGTGTCGTTGTTTTATTTTCTTGTGGGGGTCTTGTCTGGTTGTTTAGTTTAGTTGTGAGTTTTCTTTCCTAGCAGTTGCTAACCGGGTTTCTAGACTGCTTGTATTTGCACTCTTGTGTGCTTTTGATTTATAATAACATCTATCATTTTCGAAAAAAAAAAAGTTTGTGGAGGAGACCCTTTCTACGGAATGTTAGGTCCAATAATTGCTACTTATTTGTGTAGAATTATTGGTTCATAATAATTAATGGAGTTTAAAAGAATGGTATAATAAATTATTATTATTATTATGTTTAAAATAGTGATTTTTTTTAAAGAGATGCTAAAGTCTTGTTACGGAACCATTCTATCGAGTTTGTAATCGTTAGATCAACTATCTCGAAGTTATATAATGATCTAACAGTTATAAATGGGGGTGTCTATATGTACACCCCCTTGTGTGTAAAAAAGGGGTGTACATATAGCATTGCCCTTTGTGTAATTTATTAAAAAAGGGTGTACATATAGCATTGCCCTTATAAATTCCGAAAGAATAGTAAATGAAAAAGCACACAGTACAATTCAATACAACCTTACATGTCTTTATCTCTCCAACAGTCTGATCTGTTTTTACTTTTTTTCTTTATCTGTCTATCTATAAAAATGATCAAGTTTTGGCAGCAATATTTTCTCCCCTAAAATGGAACTCCTCTGACCTTCTCTTTTTCTTCCCAAATTTGCCTCTCGCTCTCTCTCTCTCTCTCTCTCTCTCTCTCTCAACAAATACATACAAAACCTGAGCTGTATCTATATATATATATTCTCACCCCTCTACTCCATAGCTTCTTCTTCTTCTTCTATTGTGTGATATATACTTCAACACACACTACCAGTCTCTCTCTCCACACACACACACAGGTAGAGAGAGTGTTTTCATCTTCTTCGCGTGGTCTAAAATGGACAACTGCCTGGCTGCACACACACACATATAGATATATAAATAGTTACAGAGGGAGGTTCTCTTTTTTAATCTCGCGAAAACAAGCACCGGAAAGAGGCTGAGATGTTGGATCTAAATGTTGACGCCGTTTTTCTGGTCGAACCCGACGAGGCCCACCGCGGCGGCAAGACGGAGGCCACCGCGGATTCAGTGGCGTCCACCACCACATCCACCACCAACATTGCTTTCCCCACCACCGCCGGGGCGGAAGAGGTCGGCGATTGCAGCAGCGCCGCCCGCCTGTCCACCTTCAATTTCCCGATCCTTGACAAGGGGGTGATCGAGATTGAGGACGACGAAGTTGGCGATGAGGTCACCGATAGCAGGAACGAAGGGCTGCAACTCTTCCCGGTCGGGGCACCCTCGCCGTCTCCGTCGTTTCTGAGGGCCGGGTACTGGCTGAATCTCTCGGCGCCCAAGGTCGGGGATGGCGGCGGGGTGGATTTTGGGGCTTACAGGACGAGTAATCTGGTGCAGCAGCAGCCCCAGCCGCAGGTGAAGAAGAGCAGGCGTGGGCCCCGCTCTCGGAGCTCTCAGTATCGAGGGGTCACCTTCTACCGGAGGACTGGGAGATGGGAGTCCCATATCTGGTTCGTCTCTCTCTCTGTCTCTCTCTCTCTCTCCCTCCCTCTCCCACACACACAGACACATTAGATGACATGAGAGGATTAAATTTGTTGCATGCAGGTGTGTGTATGATGTCTTGCTATGGATTAATAGAACGATGTTGTGAATCAATGTACAGTAGTATGATAATTTTTGGAAGTCCATAAAGACCTCATTGTTTTGCCATAGTTTTTTTTTTTTTTTTGGTCAGAGGTGCATCATATTTATCAGATTTTTATCTCCTCTTGCAGGGATTGTGGCAAACAGGTCTATTTAGGTAAAGAAGACTCTTTTCTTCTGTAATTATTTTATGTTTAGGTTTACGAAACAATTACTGATGCTATATTTAGGCATCTGTTTTTAACTGTTTGTCTTGTGTTTTCGGCTTCCAGGAGGGTTTGACACAGCTCATACTGCAGCTAGGTAAGGTTTCTACTTTCTACTTGCAATTGAGATTTTGATTTTACTCCTTTTTGGGAAGTTTGTTTGAGTTCAGTTATGTTTTGTTCTTTCAGAGCATATGATCGTGCTGCAATCAAGTTTCGTGGGGTTGATGCTGATATCAATTTCACTCTCAGTGATTATGAAGAGGATATGAAACAGGTTTGGAGCTATATTTAGTATGTTGCTAATAATTTGCTCTTTGCCGGAAGATGAATGAATCTTATGCAGTTTAGGATATTTTGCAGATGAAGAACCTGACAAAACAAGAGTTTGTTCACATTCTTCGCCGTCAAAGCACAGGTTTCCCTCGAGGAAGCTCAAAGTACAGAGATGTTACACTGCATAAATGTGGTCGATTGGAGGCAAGAATGGGTCAATTCTTTGGGAAGAAGTAAGAATAATATATTTGTTGTTATTTGTCTTTTTATATTTTCTTGAATCAATTAGTTGTTATTGTTCTATGTGACAGTTCTTAATGTGTTTTCACTTTGGATTGTGATTAATCTACAATTTTAGGCCAATTAGATTAAATGTATCAGAGAGGAAAACCACTTCCATCGATAAAATTAAAAATAGTTATTTGCAGGTTTATGTATCTTGGGTTACTCGACAGTGAAGCTGCAAGGTCCTTTTGCAATCTTGAATTTTGATTGCTTATGGAACAGTCTTGCGCTAGGATTATTTTTGCAGGATTAATTCTCATTGATGGCCTTTTTTTTTTCAGGCCTTATAACCAAGCTGCATTCAAATGTAATGGAAGAGAAACTGTGACGAACGTCGAGCCTGGTAACTATGAGAGGAAAATTGCCCGCCACAAAGATGGTGGTATATTACAAGCTGTGTTTCTTTCTATTTTTATGATTTGCCGTTTGTCTTGTTTTCATAGAAAAGTGAAGTAGCTGATTTTGTGTGTTACTGATGTATGGAGTTATGAATACAGGTTGTGGCAGCAATCTTGATCTCAACCTTGGGATGTCTTTATCTTCAGATGGGCCACATGGTAATAGCATAACAAGGGGTTTGCAGTTCTCTCATGCCTCAAATGAATTGCCTAATGGCAAGAGAGTAAAGGTACTTTCCGGTCCTTCAATGCATGTCTCTTGTTGCTCTTGTGATTCATTTCATGTATACAAACTGGAGAGTTTCACTTTCTGGGTGGTTCATTGATATTGCTCGAATGAACCGATGATTTAACTCAAACTACATGTAAATACCTACCAAAATTCATGTATTTCTTTTGTTTCACGTTGACAAAATTGGATCCTCAAAAGGGGGAGGTACTTGTAATTTTAGAAGAGAACTTCATGTTGTTATAAATTTCACGCGTTTTTTTTTTTTT